ATAAATTAGTAATCAGATGCATTGATATTGCAGTAATTATTTTGCAGTTATTATACAAGGGAGGAAGGAGTGAAGAATGGGTCTTTGTACGTTGGAAGTCTTTTGACTTAAACTTGGGAAACTTCTGAGTGGTCAACCACATACACACTTTGGAATATCCCTGAGCTTTGCTATCACAATTTCCAGTATGTGATTCAACTCTCCTCGTATGAAGGGAAGAATTTTGTAATTCAGCCAAGCTGTGGCTTTTAGTGAAAATATAGAGAGCATTCGTATCTAATTTGTGGCTAGAATGTGCTGAGGCCCATGATCTTTACTTGCTTTGTAAGCGTTCTGTCAACCACTGAGAACCTCAGCTTCTTTTGAGGTATGGAAAGTGCTAGCAGCACTTATAAAATTGTCAGGAAAGCTTTTCTATGTACAAAGCTATACTGGAAATAATATAGTATGTTTTCCCTTTGCTTCCTTCTGAAGAAATGTAGCACTACATTTTTACCAGGTAAATAACAAATAAGAATAAATTTTGAAGTTGCTTATTATTGTTTTATACAAGTAAACTATCATTATGTTCCTAAAATCAAATGCTTAAAACAGAGCTGATTTTAAAATCAGTTTAGTATTAAACTTCTAGAATAATTTAATTGAAAATTGTAAAAGTGTTGTGAAGAGTTAGAAAGTTTAAATTTGATAAAATATTTGAGGACATAAGTAGTTTGTTTCTATTACATGTGCCCATATAAAAAGAAAGACCACTCCATTCCTATCAGAATAAAATAAATGGAAATATAAACAGTATTATGTTTTACACTGGAAACTTAGGAACAGAAAGATAACTACTTCATTAAGAAATAAAGAATATCAGATATATAACTATTTTTAAAGAAGCAATGTCAATGCTCTTGTTCATTTTTATATTAGTTTTTTAATTTTGTTGCTATAACATTGTATGAGAAAATATTTTTAATTGAATAGGTTATTTTATAATGAGATAATGGAAGTTTAATAACAGGATAATCTTTGTTGTTGCTGCTGGGGATGGAACTCAGTCTTGTATATGCTAAATGACAGGCTCTACCACTGAGCTACATCTCCAGCTCACAGGATTGATTATCTTTTATCTAGAAATCTGAAGCAATCAAGGTACTGAGCTCACTTAAGGAAAGAATATAATAGAGTAAATGTTTTTTTATGTGAACATTATTATTTTTTCAATATGATTGCATTCTGAGTATTCTTGTGCCCTAATAGTTTAAAAACATTTTACTTAACACATTTCTATTAATAAATATTTAATAGCCAGTGAATTATTTTAAGGATGTCAAAACATATAAAAGCAGTGTCATAAATGTATACTGTTCATTTTTTGCTATAATTATATTATTTTGATTTTTTCCTCACTAGAAAATTACTTAGATAATGTGCCAATTGGCTTTTATTATAGCTTAAGAAAAACCCCTATAATCACCTTCCTCATATACAGAACCTTACATTCTGCTTACCTCTAATATTTTTTAAATATAAGTAATAAAATAATATTGAATCTCCTTTCATAAATGAATTCTATGTATGAGGAGTTAGGTCAAATACAAAACTGGGCACAGTCTCCAAGACCACCCTCACTCCTGACTTCAATTGCAAAGTTCAAGAGGTTGCCAAAACCACCCTCGGGTTCAATCCTTCAGTAGAAGGGATGTGTAGAACTCAATGAAGTGGTTATACTTGTGGTTACAGTTTCTTAAAGAAGGAGGATTCTGGTTAAAATCAACCAGGGAAAGATAGGGCAGTCCTGGAGAAACACCAAACACAGAGTATCCATAACCTTCTCCCTGTGAAATCAAAGTGCATTACTTACCATCTTTGATGTGTGGTAGTATGCACAAAGTATTGTTAACCAGGGAAGTTACTTGAGCCTCAATATCCAGAGTTTTTATTAGGGATTCATTATGTAGGCACGATTGGTGGGTTGCCCACATGGTTAATCTCAATCTCTAGGTTCACTGATACCGTGCTATCAAAGACCACTATTCCATGTCACAATGTTCATCTTTCTGGCACAATCATCCATCCACTTCTAAGACTCTACAACCGTTGCTGTCTCCCACCTTCAATCTCACTGTTAGATTATGCAATCCTTACTCTATGACCAGTTTTTACTCTGAGATTATACAAGTGTGGCTAACCTCCAACTTATATCATATTGTTAGACCATCCAGCCATCCAGTATAACCCAAGACCACCAGGGAAAGAACGATGTTAGAAGTCTCCTTTCAGAAGCTGACACAAGGGCCAGAAATCTCTTTGGGCAATGTCAAATTCTTACTACACAATTGAATTAAAAAAGACCTTACATTTCATTTTTTTAAAAAAGTATTAACAATGTTCTTTTTTTTCCTATAAATGTGCTCCTTTTTTTCTAAACTTTTACATTCTCTCATGAAATTAGTATATAAGTAATGAGAAAAATAAGGGCTGGGGGTGTGGCTCAGTGGTAGAGTGCTCACCTAGCACATGCTCACCTAGCACTGGGTTCGATCCTCAGCACCATATAAAATAAAGAAATAAAATATTGTGTCCAACTACAAATTTAAAAAATATTTTAAAAAATGAGAAAAATATCTCATGAAGAATTGATCTTAAGGAGATGGATGTAGCAACCTAATAGCATAATTATCTGAACTGAAAAATGCATGTGAAATTAGTAAAATAAAATTAATTAAGTTAAAATTGATAAAAATATTTATGTCATTTTAGATAATAAGTATTTATTAATTCATTTATTTAATACTTGTTGATTTCATCTCGTGTGGCAGATATGACGTTAAGTATGTTATATGTAATAATAAATAAAATCTAGTCTTCCTTCAAAGAATTACAGTTTAGTAGAAAAAATGAACTGCTGCACAATTATACTAGAAAGGGATAGTGACAAGGAAAATGTGCAAGCCAACATCTAACTGAAGCTTTGAATTCTGGAGAAGGAAGGGACATCTCAAATGTGGGCTGAGGTTAGCCATGTGATGGGGCAGGTGAGGCTCTGCAGATGTAACAAGAGTGTGTACTTCATCCTAACACCAAGAACATCCTCTTTAATGTGTTTAGGAAATACTCTCATTGTCATGAGCTTACATGTTACATACCTACTAACGTAATTCTGATTGAAGCTAAAAAGATGTGAATATATATTATCTTAAAAGAAAATGACCAAATACTTAATAAGTTTGAGTACTTCATTCAAGCATGTGCATTTAGTGGAATTATGTTCCTGGCACAGTGCCAGTCCTGGGACTGCAGCACATACAGCCTAGGGGTCTACAACACAAGAACTTACAACACGTATCTTACTGACAGAAAACGAACAATCTGCTAGAGAGATTGATGCATAATTGCATAAATATTTAATCGCAATTGAGATATGTAATATGACATAAGATATACAGTGCTATGATAAAACAAGGCAAGGAAACTGTTGGCTCCAGAGAAAATTGGTAGGTTGCTTGAGGAGTAGTTTGCATTATTTAGGTGAAGGTGGTGATGGGGTAGAGTATAAGGGTATCATGTTTCTGGGAGCTGTAATACCATGGGGCATTAGAGATAAGACCCAACAACTTGCCCTTGTGGTCCTAAGAAGGGAATGCTCTTCCTGGAGAGCAGCTTGTAAGTGAGGTGGTAGCCCCCAGAAGGAAGCAGGTTGTCTATTAGAGTGGTTTATGACTTGTATTCCAGGAAGAAGAAGTTTTAAATGTTTAAATTTCTTCACTTTTATGCAGACTGGTGACTTGAGTATGTTTGCATTTTTTAAAAGGTCATACTGGGTATCAGGTGAAGAAAAGAGCGAAGTCAGGCAAGGGTGCTGATGAGACCAAATAGGATACAACAAGTCTGGGGAGAGAGTTTGGAAGTTTGTTCAAAGGCAGAAGCAGTAGTAATGGAAAACAATGGATAATTTCAAGAATTCATGATGAAATCTTGAGGAAGTTGGAGAAGAGGTGGGCTTAAGAATGTCTTTGAAGTTTTCAGAAAGTTACAGGTGACTGGAAAAGCTGAGTATTTTGATAAGGAAGGTCAGATGCCGTTGGAAGGTTAGGTAAAGTGAGGAAAAGGGATGAGGTCCAGATTAGAATTGATTGAAGAGCAAAAGGGGAAGAAATGGAAAAACCAAAAACAGAAAGTAAAGTTTTGAAACCTTAGTTAAATTACTTGACCACTCTTTTAGTCTCCCTCTTACTTTTAATAAAGTAGACATAATTAGATGTTGTTCCAGAGGGTCGTGATCAAAGTGAATGAAATGACAATAATACGTATGCATTCATAGCCTAGGCCTTTTACAGACTAGACAACATCCAATAAATGCTAGCTATATTTAGATATTACATTAAAATAATGCCTTATCATAACAAGTAAGCTTCCCGCAAGCCTCCTTCAAAAAATATTCATTGAACACTCTTTAGAGCATTGTGAATAGAATATTGAAGAATAACAACAACAAAAATCCTCATTCAGCTTACATTTTGGTGACAAAGCATTTTAGTAGAACTGTTCATTTTGACAGTTTCTACCAACTTTTAGTATCTTTGTGAAATAAACTGTGGCACATCTTGAAACCAGACTAAGAAATCAGCTTTGCAAAACAAAATCAGCAAATCTCAGCCACATAGCATTTATTTATCCATGTTGACACTTAACACTACCATTATGAGACCTTTAAATAGTATCAATAAAATAGTTTTATCTCCTGGTTTTCTCTCAGTGTAGCTCTCCAGTATTAGAAATAATAGAATGATAAGTTTATTAAATCTGAAAAGGACCTTAAGTAGTTAATTCACTTTATTTTTTTTTTTTTTCGCAGAGAAGCCAAAGCTTCACGTGTAAATTGAGTTAGGTGTCTTTTAATGGTGTTCATTTTGTCAGGGGAGAAAAAAAATACCTTTTGATTTTAAATGCCATATAATTTGTGGGGGGAAAAATGTACTGATTGGAATGATTGCTGTTTGTGCCAACAGCTGGATGCCAATGGTGAGCTGCTCATTCGAAATGCCCAGCTGAAACATGCCGGAAGATATACATGTACCGCTCAAACAATTGTGGACAATTCTTCAGCTTCAGCTGACCTTGTTGTTCGAGGTAAGAATTTCATAATTTTAAAATTATGTAATCAAAGGTTTGTGTCAATAAGTATAATCTTCTGGAAACTATTAGGGTCTCAATTCAAATTCTTATGTAGGGTCTCAATTCCATGCCTCAAAATGCATCTTAGCTTCTTACCCATGTCTGAGAATGATTTATGCCAGACAAGAAGTAAACAAGACTGATTTGTTGTTGTTTAACTAACTTTATATCCTCTAGAAAGTTACCCCACAGACCTACTAAATGTTTGTGTTTTTAAATGTAGTACTCAACTCACTTTATTTCTTACTAATTTTTTTTTTTAGTGTGTTGGGTGTAGTGCGGTTTCCTTTTTTATTTTTTTATGGAAAAATACATTAATGCTGTTTACTATAATGTTGAGTATTTCATATTTATCACCAACCATCATTATAGAATAAAAATCTAATTTATTCATGTATTATGCTTCTATTTGTAGCTCATTTTCAAACTACTGCTTTTGTTCTTACAAATAATATAATTGAGAATGTGATGGGATATGTGTTTATTAAAGATACAACCCCTTTGCTTCTTGCCTCTAAGTGGGGATGAGGCTGCCTTGGAACATGACACACTCTGTTGAAATTCATTAAGTGGCTCTTTGCTGGTTGCCTGTGGAATGAAGATCATTTCATTTTGCTTAGTACCCAAGACAATCTGTGTGTTGACTTCAGACTTCTTACTTTATAATGTCTTATCATCATTCCTATAATCAATTCTAAATGTCCCGCTAATTCACAATACCCTTGTGTTTCTACATCTGTTCCTTGATTCACAGTTCTTTAATGTATTTCTCACATCATCTGTTGGCCAATTCCTATCCATACTTTCCAGGTGTTGCTCACATATTATTGAATTTGGGAATCCTTTTTTGATGTCCAACTATAACCTCTTATCTGCTAAACTTTCACAACATTTACTACTTTCTCCAATGTGTTTCATAGCTAACTGTGCATGAGTTATCTCCTAAACTAAATTGCAAAATTTATGTATACATTTAAATTAATGTTTAATTAATTGCACATTCTTTTACATAGTTTTATGACTCTTTTTCTCTGACTCAATGTCATAATAAAACTTCAATTTTTCACATTTTACCAACTGGAAATATTTAGTAACCATTATTTAAATCCATATTTGACTATAATTTTTGGATAAAAAATTGGTTAATAAAATAATATCTCTAATGTTTTAATGCCCCTCCCAGACTTAGATTAATAGACTTTCATTCAATCTGATACATTTTCTGAATTCCCTCTAGAACAGTGTTAATATGGAGTCCCTAGGCAACATAGTGAAAATTCAGAAAAATTTTTATTTCAGTTAAATATGTTCTCTAGTACAGGATTAAGGAACCTAATGGGAGTTTCTCTTTCAATTTGTTCCACAAAACACTTATTGAAAATTAGTAAACAAAATCCTAAGGCTACAAAATTCTAAATTAGAGAAAGTTCATTTAGGTTCAGTGTTTCTATTTGGAGTATTTTGTTGTCTGGTACATCAGTTGTTTTCAAGAGTCATTAGGGAAAGGAATGAATTCATGGTTCCTTCTATTCAGAGCACAAGCTATTAAACCATTTCTAGCATAGCCTAAGTGCAGATTTAATTAAAATTCCTTGAACATGAGAAGAATAAGAATTAATGTTACAGTAGGGATCAATCACAATGCATGGACATGGATATTTTTATATGATTACAATATAATGAGCTCATTGTAATAATTCTACAGAACACTCTCTAATATTCTGAGGGAAGAGGATGTTTTAAAGATATAATGTAAGAGTAGTACTAATATTATTCATACACATAGGTAATTAATAATCACCTTGCCATATATTTTTATATAGCTAAAACCAATAAAAAGGGACTATACCAGGTATTATGTGGAAATACATTTTTTTCTATAGTCTTTTTAGTTCCAGGAAAAAACACCTTAAGGCAAAAGAACCTGGCAAGTATACTCAGGAAAAATATAACATTTTAAGACCATGAACAATAGCAGGATGCTAATAAAACTATACACATAAAGGAAAGGTATTGCTTAGCCCTATTCAAGTCTACACAGTCATAATCTCTCTGTGAGCTTTATTTCAAATAATAAGGAAGGTATTCATTTATATCAAAAGAAATTCATAATTAAAATAGATAAATGTATTTCTGAAGAGTTTGTATCAAAAATATATTGCAGATCTTCTAAAATGTTATATTTATTTAAGTCAGAGTATATACAATTGCAAAGTTTTTTTAATATTTTTATAGTAATAATGAGTAATATGTGAAGCATATTTTGGGGGGAATACCAGGGATTGAAATCAGGGGCACTCAATCACTGAGCCACATCTCCAGCCATATTTTATATTTTATTTAGAGACAGGGGCTCACTGAGTTGCTTAGTGCCTTGCCATTGCTTAGGCTGGCTTTGAACTGGCGACCCTCCTGTTTCAGCCTCTGAAGCTGCTGGGATTACAGATGTGAGGCACCATGCCTGGTTTATATGAAGCATATTTTGCCTTAAGTGATAATACTATTGTTGGCCCATTTTTCCACTTAATTGTGCTTTTGCATCTAGTTCATGAAGTCATAACCTAGAGCTCATGGACTGTCCTCAAGAGATATATGAAACTGCTGAAATGATATACTAAATTCCATATATATGTGAGTTTTCCTAGGAAGAGGATTTATAGTCTTCATCAGATTTTCTCAGCCACCAATGGCCAAAAAGCACTGAAAAACTTAATTTTTATTTGTATTCCTTATTTTTCCCCATATAGATCAAGATTCTCTGAAAAGAGAAACAATGAGCTGGTTAGTTGATTTTTTTGTAAAAGTTTAAAAATCCATTAAATTTCTTGTTGTGAGATCTTAGTAGCACATTTAGACTGAATTCCTTTGAAGATTGTTGTATTCAGCCCTTCAAGAATAAATATCTGTTACTCAAAAGTTTGAAAACACTTCATAATTGCCCCCCACCCCATATCTACAATTTTCTTTCTGTGGTTTCAGTTACCATGATCAACTATACTCTGAAATGTTAAATTGAAAATTCCAGACATATATAATTTTAAATTTCAAATTGCATACTGATCTGAGTAACATGTTGAAATCTCATGTGGTCCCACTCCTACTGCCCAGGATAAGAAACATTTCTCTTTTTTACTGTGTCCATGCTGTGTATACTACCTGTGTATAGCTGTCTTGGTTTACAGATTAATTACAGAGTATTACAGTGCCTATGTTCAAATGACCTTATTTTATGTAATAACAGCCCTAAAGCACAAAATTTTGTTGCAGTCTATTGTTGTAATCATCCTAATAGTTACCGTTAATCTTCTATTGTGCAAATTCATATATTAAACTTTATATAACTATGTCTGTATATGAAAAGACAATATATGTACAATTTGGTACTATCTGCAGTTTCAGGCATCCACTATGGATCTTGGAATATTAATAAGGATTCAGAAGACTTTAGACATATATAAAGTCTACTGCACTCAGTAGACTTTAGACATATATAAAAACTTGCCAGGTTTGACATGGACTAATTCTAATTTATATTGGATATCAGCGATCTGAACTGCAGATGCTGAAATTAGTGTTATGAGAGGGACAGTGAACGTTGTAGAGGGGAATGCAGTTTTCTCTGAGGAACACCAAGAAAATTTTTGATAACAAAATTAGTCTATTATGTAAATATTTATACTGATCAGATGACTGAAACAAAAGTATAAATACTCAGATATAATTAAGACTGTGGAATCCTTTATTTTATATTACCTTGAAGGAAATCAGTGCATAGTAAAAGAAAAAAAAAATGTTGCTACCCTCTGTACTGTGTGTGTGTGTGTGTGTGTGTGTGTGAATTTGTAATTGCGGATGGGTTAGGGTTATATATGTAAAACTTGATGGAAGCAATTTGTATGGCAGGAAAAATGTGTTTTAGGCCTGTCCCTTTAATTATCATTTTAAATGGATTTTAGAATGGAGACAGTCAGTTAAATCTGAGCATCTCTATGTTAATTTCCACTGTTATAACAAAATTCCTGAGCTTTAATTATGTATGAAGAAAGGAGATTTATGTAGCTCATAGTTCTGGAGGTTCAAGGCCATGGCACTGGCATTGGCCCTATTCTGGTGAAGACTTCATGGCAGGGGGCATCACCATGGTGGGAGTACATGTGGGAGGGGGAGATTACCTGGCAAGATAAGAAACCAGAGAGAACTCAGGAATGAGGTTTGCTCTTTTATAACAACTCATGCAATGCAAACAACTAACTCACTTCATGAGGCCAGTATCGATCCATGCTGAGCACAATGACCTAATTACTTTGCACTGAGGCCTACCTTTTAAGAGTTTCACCATCTTTCAACATTGCCACAAGCTTTCTACACATGAACCCCTGGAGGACACAAACAAACCATATCCAAAGTTTAGCAGTCTTTAAATAAAAAACTGAAAAGGAATATGGGAAAATTTCATATTCAAAGCATATACAATATTTTATTTACTCCCTTTTTTGTCTGTGTCATATATGGCAAAATCAAAACACCAGAAAAATAGCAGCAATTTTTGTCAAGTGGAAATAATCCATTAAAATATGGGCCCAGTAATCAAATGTGAGACATCATCGTTTATAGAGGACATAAATGTTTATCTGTCGAAGGTATAGTACTTTAATTTATTTAACCACTAATTGGACCCCAGGAGAATTGCCAGAAAAGTGCATATTGTCTAATTTATCAAATTGGATTTTCAGAAGAAACATTAGACAAAATAAGGACAAACAGTTTTTAAAAAGTTAATGATGGGGTTTGTGGCTCAGTGGTAGCACGGTAGTGTGGTAGTGTGGCTGGGGTTGTAATTCAGTGGTAACATGCTTGCCTTGCATGCATGGAGCACTGAGTTCCATGATCTTCAGCACCACATAAATAAATAAAATAAAGGTGTTGTGTTCATCTACAACTAAAAAAATTTTAAG